TTCATTTCTCCTGTATTGAATGATGTACCCATAATATTCACTCATTGTTAGAGTTTGTCTTTTTGTCTTGCGCTTTCCTTTATTTTTATGGTAAGGAATTCCAACATGATAGCCGTCTTCTCCATAAAGGAATAAAATGGGATATTGTAGTGCCATGAAAAGTGGGTGCAACTCTGTGATTTTTTTTAGTCCCTCGTATTTATGTTCAACAACTACATCTCTTCCAACTTCACAATTCCCCAAGTCCCCAACTATTAGTGCTGCCACTTCAGAAGTCGTTGGCCTTTCACAGGTCTTTGGATCTGATTCCCTCCTTCCAATCAAATGAATGCCTAGTTCAACATTGTCTGAGTTTTTAAGTCGGTCCATTGCTAATCTGAATACTTGAACTGTAATACCCCAAAAATTGGCGATATTTTAGCATTTAATAAGGGACTTATTTGAGGGAAAATATTGTTTTGGGGGTTAATCGTAAAATTTTTAAAAGTTGAGGGACTTAAAAGAAAGGAATTAGGATAAGGATTGACTGCTTTTCCTTTTTCTTTTTCTTTTCTTTCTTTCTTTCCCTCCCCATCAGACCCGCGTGCCCTGCTCTTCCTCTCCCCCGACCCTCTACAGTTGACAAACCCCCCAGCCACCGCCACCCATTTTCCGGCCGGAAATCCGGCAAAGCTTGGGGATTTCTCCCTATTTTCTTGTCTTAGAACACCTGTTGAACCCAGAAAATCCCAGATCTGCGTCTTCCTCCCTCTGCTGTCCGTCGGCTTCAACTTGTGGGTTTGAAATTTCTGGGCATTTTTGGTAAGAACAACCCTGAATCTCCCTTTTCTCTCTTGATTTAGGCTTGGGTTTACCTTGAATTGTGTTTTGGTTTTTGGATTGGGTAGCCGCAAGTTCCCCTGCAAAATTTCTTCTTCTCTACCGCCAGCTTCTCCCCCCTACTAGGCTCGGTTTTGCTTGCTAAATTCTGGTAAGTTGCAAGCTTTTCCAAGCTTAAAATTACCCATTTAATTGCTAGGTTTTGTCCATTAGTTGATGCTCTGTGTTGTCCGAATCTGCTGGGATAGGGGATGAATTTGGCAGCCATTTTAAATGTGTTTTAAGCTTGATTATGTAGAATTTAGCTTGAATTACCTGCTGTGATGATTGTGTGAGAAACCCTGTGAAATAGCTATGTTTTGCCAATTTTGGAAGTTGAGGGTACTGTTCACGGTACTGTTCACGGGGCACTGTTCATAAGCACTGTTCGCACACTGAGGGTCAGCAATTAACAGGGATTTAAATGTTTAGTTTGTGATATAAGAATGAATTTGGAGATGTCCGGTTATGTGGAGATTGATAGAAATAGCACCATGATTAGGGATAGTGCTAATGATGATTTCACTGTGAATTTGTGGTAGTGCGGTATTAATTCTTGGATATTGTGATTAGGTTTTGATCGTTCTGTCACCGTAGCACTTGGGTTAGCCTTTTGTTCTGTGTGAGTGAGGTAAGTAAATTATGGTAAAGCCCTTCGATTTCAAAGCATGTTTTAAATTGTTTTTGAGATGGTGGCAAGGTTTAAATTGATTTTAAATTGATTTTATCAGCATCTGAGGGTGATTAAACTGAAATGAGAATTTGGATGATTTTCATGAGAATTTCCTTGTTTTTCTGAAATTGAGCATCATTGGAATGAAAATGAGGATTTTATTGATTTTCTGGAAATGAGCATGATTGAGAAATGAAAATGAGAATTTCATTGTTTTTCTGGAATAGAGCATGCCTATTTGGGAATTGACTGAACTGCTTTGATAAACTGAGAATTTTGTAAATGTTGAGTTTTCTGTTAAATCCATGCCTGCATGGAAATTTTCCGGTTTGTTCTGAAATTCGGGATTGATTGTGAAATTCGGGTTTTTCTGTAAATCTTGCATGGTTTTGTCTCGGATATAGTTATGATTATTGATGATCCCGCTAGTGGGGGTTAAACGCTAGCACATGTCGGCGCATGTCGATATGTTAGTGATGATCCTGCTAGTGGGGGTTAAACGCTAGCACATGTCGGCCCATGTCGATATGTTATTGATGATCCTGCTAGTGGGGGTTAAACGCTAGCACATGTCAACATGTTTACTGATATGACCGGTCCATTCTGTAACCCTACCAATGGGGTTAAACATTGGTAATTATTGTCGCCTGCCAGTGGGAGTTGTAAACACTGGCACCATTACTGACGCCTGCCAGTGGGAGTTGTTAAACACTGGCACTTCTGTAACCTTGCCTATGGGGTTAAACATTGGCAACTACTGTGCCTGCCAGTGGGAGGTTTATAAACGCTGGCCATGACCTATGGATGAGACTACTGAACTGAGTTTTATTCTGCATGAACGGTTTGTCATGAAGGCTTTGATATTGAACTGAATCTGATTCTGTTTTAATGGTTTGTCATTGAACGTTTTGCTATTGAACGGAATTTGATTCCGCATTAACGATTTATCATTGAAAGTTCTGTTATGTTTACATGGTTTGTCTGGCAAGCTTAAAAGTTTTACCC